CTCTTGGAAACGTCATTAGGCTAGGGGCTCACATACTTTTTCCTCCCTGCTCTGTGAATGTTTACATGTTATGTTCAATTAAACCATGGCAACATGTAATGTTTGTGTATTATTATTTTCAGCAGACTGTGTTTTTCTATTGTTGTGACTTAGATGACGTTCAGAGCACATTTTATGACCAATTCATGCAAAACTCTGCGTTATCCCAAGGGGTTCACATACTTTTTCTTGCAACTGTATCTCTTTAAGGCTGCTTGGGTAATGTTATAAAGAAGCTATGTTGATCATATTAAAGGAAGACTTCTAGTGTGAAGTATGAATCATATCACTTGGCTATCTATACTACCTCCCCCGCCCCAAAATGCTACTCTTCAGGAGTTTTGGAATTCAAAGCTGACCATCACTGCAGTGGGCAGTTCACGTGAAATTGTATTCCCCAACAATATCAAAGGGTTGGGATACCAAATAACAGATCAATTGTTCACGTGTCCTAGCAGCACATCAGGGGCAGGATTTTGTTTTTCCTAAAATGCTTACCAATACTGTTGGTAGCTGTAGCCACTTTCTTCCTCCTCAGAGACCTGCTTGTACACATGCTTACCCAACAGCCGTGGCATTGTAACTGCCCAGTGGCAATCCATGCATGCCTCAAATTTGAGACATGCCACCATAGAAGAAGCAAAAGGGTGAATGGGAGACAGGGAGATATCCCTCACTTTTTTTTTCTTTTGAGAAAGCACAAAGGGATTGCAAGGCTGTTGTCCGCAAAAGTATCACCAGCAAAGTGCCAACATCATAGGTAGTACTGCAAGAGCAGGCTAGCTGGGGAAGAACCAGGACAATCTGTCAGGGCTGCAAAGGGGTATGATAGGTTTGAGGCAAAAAACCCAGTCTGCCTATTGCCTAGGCTTAAATCTGTTCCTTATATCATATGACATTATTTGAAAAAGTATCAGAGACATGCACCAGTGACATCCTTTATGGAGTAGTACGTTGGACTCACTTTAGACTGTATAAAAACTGATTTGTGTTAGGAACTGATGATAGCTTACTCCCATATGTGCTGATACTACATTAAGGAATAATGAACCGATGAAACATTTGGCTAATCTAGTCTTGATATGATCAATTATAGTTCTTCCAGTAGGACAACAAAAGGCAATGATGAAAAGGCTGACTTAAAGTTGTTCTTCACCCTAAATCTTTCTTGGCTGCCACAACCTTCTACCCTGCTAGGGAGAATCACATTCATCCCCTAATAATCACAGATGGGAAAAAGAAAACATCTCTACCTAGATACTTTTTTTCAAGGACAGCCATTGAGTGACTGTGGTTCCTTTTATTGTAATTTTAATAAAAATAAATATTGGAAAACAATTACCCAGTAATAGTATTTTTTATCCTACGGACAAATCTACATAACTTTGATTTTTTTTAAGTTTCTCATTTTCCCAATCTTAAACTCTTTTCACTCCATTGCTGAACAAATTTATATGTGTGTTTTTAAATGTCTGCCTGAACTTCTACACAATTTTTTACACACAATGTTTAATACATGCACGTTATGATGCTATAGAACAGTGATGGCGAACATTTTAGAGACCGAGTGCCCAAACTGCAACCCAAAACCCACTTATGCATCGTCGAGTGCTGGGTGGGCGTGGCCATTGGCTGGGTGTGGCCAATTGGGTGGACGTGGCCCATTGGCTGGGTGTGGTCCATTGGGTGGGCGTGGCTGTGGTGGTAATGGCAAAAGTTCAATTAATTCCAACTTTGCAAGATCTTTTTTTTTCCGCAAGAAGTTGAAATTGACTGATTGAACCTTTTTTTTTTTTGCACATGGTGGCGGAGGCCTAAAGCGAAAAGGTTTTATAAAACCCAACTGAAGGCCTAGGACTGGGGTGAAGGCGCGCGTGCCCACAGAGAGGGCTCTGAGTGCCGCCTCTAACACCCGTGCCATAGGTTCGCCACCACTGCTATAGAAGATTCCCCAAAAAGGGGAATGCTTTTTCATCTAATACATGTTTTTTTTTATATAAGTGTTTTTGCCCAGGACTTGGTTTGAGTATGCACGTACTTCCCTACTTTATGTTTAGCTTCCTATCTTTTACTGCATGGCAAAATTTTAAAAATGAAATTCATTTATTCATGTGCAGTCATGGTAATGAAATGAAAATTAGGTCAACTCATTTCTTTCCAACCTAATGGAAAGAAACAATTTTCTCTCTGTCTTTTTTTGCAATCTTATTCTTACCTCGACAACTCCTTCCGTTGGCGGCCATTGTATATCCCTGATCAGGGCAAGCACACTGGTAACTCCCAGGCACATTGAGACAGCGGAAAGTGCACAAGATGCCTGCACTTTGGCCACATTCATCAATATCTGGAATTGGTACATTAGCAAACATGTGAGGGCAACGGCTTTATTCTCCCAGAGTAATGTACACTACTGCTGCAATGGAACAAATCAGATGTACCTTTACAGGAATGGCTGTCTTCTGCTAATTGGTAGCCTTGCCTGCAGTAACACTGATAGGAACCATAAATATTAGCACATTCTTGACTGCATGGATTATTGTCACATTCATTGACATCTGTGTTGAAAAATGAGTATCAAAGAGACATTAAAATCAGTTGCTGCCACATACCTGTCATTGAAGACAAAGTAGAAAAGCCCTTTAACTAAATGGATTGCCTTTTTTTTTTTTTTTTTTAAAGGAGCATCTTCAAGCCTGAAGATACAGCATGACTGTGGTTTATACATGCAGGATATATGTTTGATTAAAATACTACATTACTAAACTGAGATAATATTAATAAGCATTTTAAAGTCATAGATGATTATAGCTATAACTTAGATGTGGGATGTGTCATTCCTGGTACCTCAAGGTCTATGGAAAGTTGTATCACACAATCCAGAAAGAAGTGGATCCAGGACCTTTTCAGAGAAGGTTTTCGGGAAGTTTAAGTTTCACTGAAAGTCTTTTAAATTTTACATATAAACATATGTAAAGTAGAGATAATTCTCACTTAATGGCTGCCAGGCCTAGTGACTAATCAAAGGTACTTGCACTTTGTCTACAAGCAAATGGGTCAACAGATGATGCTGCCAATATATGGCATTGCACTATAGGAGGAAGAGGCTCTAGAACCCAAAGAGATGCTAACAATCTGCACTGGGCCACTCTTTCTCCACCTTTGACTTAGCAGTTATAACACAACTCATTTTTTATCATGCTATTATCATTGTAATGTTGTTCAAAACAATAGGCCTGTAAATTAGACCATAGTTATTCATTTTCAGTGAAATACAAATGCATGAAGAAAGGACCCAATCGCAGTTAAGGCAGGGTTTCATTTTTATATTATACTATACAAAGTACATTGGAAAACTGGGATGCTAATTGTGACAAATAAATTAGGATAGAATAATGTAAAAGAAAGCATGAGGATTTAAAAACTTGCGTTCAGAAATGTGTTGTTTTCTGCAAGGCACTTCTCACTGTGCAATCCATCCCCACTGACTTTTTTTTTTTTGAGATAGCTTCATGTACAAATACCTTCGCAATGTTTCCCATCATAAGCCAAGCGAAATCCAGAAGAACATGAACAATGATAGGATCCAGGAGTATTTTCACATGAATGCTGGCAGAGTCGCCCTGGATAATTCCAGCATTCATTTATGTCTATTGCAAAACAAAAACAAAACTGATAAACATAAAATACACCTGGGAAACTGTAAGGCAGAAAAAGGCAAAGGTGTTAGAGGAAGATTTGTGTAATTGTTTCCATTTTGGATGTTACATTTCCTTACTTTGTTTGCTTACCAGTATAGTGAAATAAAGAAGTATAGAAAAATGCAATTACCACCTTATCAAATAAACGACCACTTCATTTTTGCCAAGTTTTCTACATTTATATTCTATGTCTTTGACTTACCAAGCCACTTATAGCACATAGAATGGTTTTGGAAACCTCCAGAATATGAAGTTACACTAATGGATGTAAATTATGGTCAGCCCCACTAGGTAGAACCAAACCAAGAAATGAATTCCACAGGAAGCTTAAAACTACTTTCATGCAAGTCTGATGATCTCCTCTTCCTACTTATAGTTCAGTGAATTAGGAAGCGTCTTATCTGAGTTGCTTCTTGATATTATCTGACTGTTGAGGACTTAAAGTAAGTTTTTCGCTTTGGCAATGGAGCTTGCATATTTCTGTCAAGGTCATATTCTTTTCTCTATAATTAGAGAAGAAGTTGCCATTTTAGACTGACAGTTCATGAATGTTAATTTTTAGGTAAAGTTAGGGACACAACCTCCTTTTTAACTGTCAATCTCTTACAGTTTCTATCTCATCAAAGCCCTGTCCCATGCCACAGCGTTATCAATCTACTTGTACTACCATTAGAAGACATTCTTTGGCTCAGCATCCTGAAGATAGGCCAAAACCCCCTCTGTGTTTTTTTCTTCCAGACTCTAAGCCTCATAAGGTTTAAATCTGTTTGTTCCAAATCAGCATTCTTAAGATTCCATTCGTGTACATTTTCCCAATCATGATAAATGTGAATAAATCAGTCCTCTTAGATATTCTACTTCAGCTGAAATCATTTAGAATCCAGAGCATATCCAACCTGGAGTAGAAACAGCCCAAGAGGGGGAGATAATTATTACAGTGGTCTGGACGTTTACAAGCAATTCTGTAAAGTAGGAGTGTTCTGCCCTCCCTTCTCTCCCTTTTTCTAATTTTCTGAAATTGGAATCTCAAAGGAGCACAAACTGGCTGATTGTTTCTGAGATTGCCGGTTTCATCCACTTATTTATAACATCCAGAAGTTCTTGTAGAGAGCTATAAACTATAACACACATTGTTTATAGGAATTTGGAAAGGTCAAAATCTTCAAGCATATCTCCATGGGTATCTCTTTCAAAACTCATTTTGACTTCAACGCTACCTTGGGCAAGAAAGAAGAGGAAGGGAAGAAATATTCATACCATTCTTGCTAATTCCAGGCAACCTTCCAAGCTAAGCTTACATAATTATACTGTGTGAGTGTGTGTGTGTATCATAATCAGAACTTAAGCATCTGGTTGATTTCACCCCCCTCAAGCATGCACCAAGGTTTACAACAATCTGCCATTCATTTTTGTCTAATTAAATTATTTTAATTTTGTCTAATTAAAATAAGGAGACTCCAGCACCTATTTGCACTGACTGGATTATAGCATCCACTCAGAAATCCAATAGCTGGTAGGTTGTTACCTAGCATCCAAATCATTCAGAAACTATTTTCTTTGCAGGTATGAAGATACTTAGTAAAACAGACAGCTGGAGACTTTTTAGCCCATTAATAAGTACTGTCTTAATTTCAATCAATTGCTATACTTGAAATAAATCTAAAGCATGTACTTATGAACAGACAAATTAGTCCAAGTAAATGAAAAGAACTTCAGAAGCAGGCTTGCTATCTTATTTAAGTTTTAGTTCAGTGGAATTAATACTTATGCTGAAATCAATAGCGTATAAAAGCTGACCATATTTTGACAATCAGCAATACCAAATCCCCTGTGTCATACTTACCGATGCAAGTTCTGCTGAATGAATCATACTGATATCCCATCTTGCAATCACAGCGGTATGCTCCAGGTAGATTGTGACAAATCTGTCCTTCTCCACAGTGATGTGTGGCAGACTGACATTCATCAACATCTATAGTAGCAAAAAGTAGCAATTACTCTACCCACCATGGACCAATTGATGGCCACTCTCCTTTTTGTATCACAATTTTCAGCAAATGTGTGGCATGAGCATGCAGCAGAAGCGAAAATGGGATAATTTTTCCCAGAAACTGCAGGTACAGTGATTAGATCCCTTTGCCAAAGCTGGCCTCCTGCAGCTCTGTGGTTCTTACAGACAAACCCTATATTTTAAAATAAAATAGAAATTCAAGTTGCAAAGCCTTGGAGTGCACTCTATTTTGGGTTCAAAAAACATTAGCTTCCCTTTAATTTTTTTCTTGGCATATATTGAATTCATATCTTAATTCTCCTATGTTGTTTGGAATGACCAGGACAAGAAACAATGGATGGAAAGTAATCAAAGAGAGAACCAACCTAAAACTAAGGAGAAATTTCCTATCAGTTGGAAAAATTAATCAGTGGATATTGTGGGTGCTCCAATATTGGAAGTTTTTAAGTTTTTAAGAAGAGTCTGGACAACCATTTGTCTGAAATGGTATAGTGTTTCCTGCTTGAACAGGGGGTTGGACTAGAACAGGGCTTTTCAACCAGTGGTACGGGTACCACCTGTGGTACATTGGCACCTGGCAGGTGGTACGCGACCATCCTAGAAAAGTGATAGCGGGGGAGGGGAATGAGCTGAACTGGTGGCAGCACCGCACAAGCCTGAGCGAGAGACGGCTGGAGCTACAGGGCTGTCAGGGCTCAGCGGAAGCACCAGGATCAGCGACAGGCTCCAGCTGGAGCTCGGCGCTGATCCTGGTGCTTCTGCTGAGCCCTGAAGAAGCACCAATCAGCTAGAAAGCAGTACTGATCCTGGTGCTTCTGCTGAGCCAAGAAGCGTCGATCAGCTGGAATGTTGCAGCATCTCCAGGGTCTTGTGATTTACATTCAGATGCTTGGCAACTGATTCATATTTATGACGGTCACAGTGTCCCAGGGTCATGTGAAGTGACCAAAACCTGCTGCAACCACCCAGCAGATGGGGGGAATAAAAACCAAACACCCCCCTCGGACAGGAGGAAGCGCGCCGCCGGGTGGGCAGGCAGGTGTCTTGCTCAGCTGTGGCTTGGGGGGCACTTTTTTCAGTGCCATTGTAACTTTGAACAGTCACTAAGCGAACTGTTGTACGTCGAGGACTATCTGTACTTTATCACTTTTTTTTTTGGTCAAGTTTTTGACACCTTGCTAGGCGACTGGTGGTACTCGGATATTGCCATATCCTAAAAGTGGTACAATGGGTGAAAAGGTTGAAAAGCCCTGGACTGGAAGACCTCTAACATCCCTTCCAACTCTGTTATTCAGTTATTCTGTTCTGTTATTAAATCAGCATTTTCAGATAACAGTTATGTAAAATAATAAAGGCAGTGTTAGATTTCATTACACATTTTTATATAGTCTTTGGGACCCTTGGATTTACTTGTAGACAACTGTATTTGGAGATAAAGAAATTACAACTCTTGTTTTAAATGTATCATAAATCAAAACCTGATTTTTTAAAAAATTAAAGCACCATCTCTTTACATCTCTGTTCACTTTACAGCAAACATTAAAATGTTAATTTTAATAATGACTTAAATCTGACAATTAGCAACATAAGTTGCCTTTAATTCATTTGTTCAACTCTTTGATTAGTTTTCTTTGAAATTGTGCATTCCAATCACTTCTGCTTTTAATTACTTTCAGTACATTATTCTGTCAAAAGAGCATCTCATTTCATGACAGTCACAGTATTTTCCAGCTAAATGTTGGAAGAAACTGCTGCTAACCACTTTGTTGCATTAAAAAGAACAAATTTGTTAAGAATTCTCTAACTAAAAAGAAGCAACCACAATAACTCCATTATTCTGCCAAACCTTTCCCAATGATCTATTTCTAGAATCATAAGTTTATCCAACCAAAAATTTAACTATCCATTGTATTCTTTCTTACAAAATGAAAAAGGAAATTAGACCCACTAATTTGGTTGCTTATGCTTTAACCCTATATATACACACACAAACACACACAAACACACACACACAAGCATTAGAGTGTTTAAAGTCTAAGCATAAGAGTATACTTACAAGGCCAGAGGCACAATGTTTTCATTACTAATATTACAATGAACTATGAAGTTTTTATATACAACAAAGCTCTAATTTCTATAATTTCAAGTTTCTAAAGAAGTCTTACTAGTGCTAACCAAGTTAGGTAGTAGCTGAGAGAGTAAATGAGCACAAAGAAGAATTTCACACCAACATTAGCATTCTGGATATGAGTACTTTAGTAGAGCAGACATACTTTTCAAAGCACTGTTGTAGTCCTAGACTGGTTAATGATAGTTGGCCAAGCTGTTCTTAATTTCCCTCAAAGCCAAGACTCTCCCACAATAACACATTGTTATTACTCAACTGTAATGGTTGTTTAAAACCCCACATAAGCCATTGACGAAAGCTATATGATTTATTACATACAAATTCTGTTGTATATTTTTCTACTTGCATTACACCACCATCACTACTGCCTAATCAATGCTCATTGATGGATTTAACAGAATAGCTTTTATTCTTTTATTATTTTAACAAATAGCTTTTATTCATTTGCTCAAGTTACTGAGATTACATTTGAATTTGAAGCACCAGCAACTTCTAGCACTGAAGCAGCCACAGTTTTGCCAAATTTCAATTGTGTGGGAGCCATGGGTTCTGGATTTTGGATGCATTCTATAAGCTAATCAATTTGAGCAAAAATTGTTGCCCTATTTCACCCAATTCAGGGTTACAAACAACCAAATAGGCACAAGAGTTTTAGGATCAGATGAATTTGACTAATCTTGTTCTAAAGCTGAGACCTTTGTAGGTTGAGACAATGTGAAGAAGCATCTTCTTTTCTCTAGCCTAAATATAATTTGATCTAACTATTAGATAAACCTGCTTTTCAAAGATATAAAGAAGGAATATCTCCCTATTTATTTTTTCTAAGTCATGCCTAATTTTATGCCCCCTCTTTTTATTTCCATTATTTTAGACAATTTCTTCAGTTTCTTGATTATTTTCATTTCTTGAAATTGCCCTAGTTTTACTCATTTAAAGCAAGGGAGGGGATAGAATGAATATGTTAGAGATTGTATGGTCCAATGGACAAAGAACTTTGGTTAAAGTATAATGATTGCCCATTGGGAAAAGATGTATTCTAATGGATTGAAATTCACATTGAAATATATAAAATAAATGCAAGCAAATGTTTTCCTTTTAGGTATGATGGATAAAGAATTGGAAACAAAATTTGGAACTTGTTATTATATATGACAACAGTGAGAATTTTATATGCACCAAGATGGAAAAACACACTAGTTCCCACAATGGAAGAATAAATGGAAACGGTGATGGAGTCAGGAGACATGGTTTTGTTTTGACTTGAAAACTGCTTCTAGATTTTTTGCTCAAAGCTGAAAAAAATGAAACTTTGATTTTGGATGTTGCTGATTAGAATGATTTTGTAATGCTAGAAATGGCTTAAAATGTGAAATGTAAAGCAAAAAGTTGGCACTGTATTATTTCTGTAATCGACTTCACCAAAGAAGGCAGAAGTCATTATTTTTTCTTCTCTCTTTGCACCTTTCTCTTTCCTTTTCTTATTATTCCAACTTTTTGTTTCTTCTATACTTTTATCTTATAATGAAATAAAAAAATATGCAAAAAAAAAGAGGGGAGAGAAGAAGTGGTGACCAGAACAACTAAGAATGTTCCAAATATGGCTCTGAGCTGAAGAAAGGAGTTTCGATACTGTAGTTGACACTACTCCATTAGATGAATATGGTGAAAAAAAACAAATCCTAAATTGGAAATCATTCACACATTATTAATAGTTTTATTAATATTTAAGTGTGTGGTGTGTCCATATTTGAAAAAATGTGTAACCTTCTGTCATAGACAGTATAATTATTATTATTATTATTATTATTATTATTATTATTATTAATAATAATAATAATAATAATAATAATAATAATAATAATAATAAAAAGTTGGAAGGGATCTTGGAGGTCATCAAGTCCAACCCCTGATCAGGCAGGTAACCCTATACCATTTCGGACAAATGCCTGTCCAGTCTCTTCTTAAAAACTTCCAGTGTTGGAGCATTCACCGCTTCTGGAGGCAGGTTGTTCCACTGGTTAATTGTTCTAGCTGTCAGGAAGTTTCTCCTTAGTTCTAGGTTGCTTCTCTCCTTGATTTGTTTCCATCTGTTGCTTCTTGTCCTGCCTTCAGGCATTTTGGAGAATAGCTTGACTCCCTCTTCTTTGTGGCAGCCCCTGAGATATTAGAACACTGCTATCATGTCCCCCCTCGTCCTTCGTCCTTCTCTTCATTAAACTATCTCCAGAAGGACATTGAAGCACTAGAGAATTGCAGAATGATCTAAGGAAACAGACTAATGAGTAAAGATTTAATGTTTGTAATGTACTTACAAACACACATAGATAACTTTTGTCCCAGTGTACTTCACTGTACAATGGATTGCACACCAAACGTCTCCTATCATTGTTTGGAAAAAATTGTTACTTGCAAAGTTTATCTCTCATTGTCCATATATGATTTGGAGTTCCTGGATGGCCTTACTATTTATATACCTCCATTTAGAAAAAAAGTTATTTTATCCCTATTCTCTGTATTTTATAATAAAACTTACTGATCCATAAAAGGACATTTTCCATGATTCAATGTATGCCTGAGTTATGCTTGCTTCAGTTTTTAGAAATCACAAGGAACAGAAGAAGCATGAATCACTGAAATATCTATACTATTGATACATGTATGTGTCTTATATTAATTCATAGAAATAATTATTTTAGATTTTATTTCCCTTGCTGGCATTAACAAGGACAAGAGTAATTATTTTGGCAAACACTAGTATAAATGTCAACCTCTCCTGATGAATAAGACTGCCTAGTGAAAAGCAACAGCAATCAGTAGCACTGTTCACTGCCAAGAATTTGACAGACTTGCTTTTCTTACCTGTTGAAGTCTATTTTAAGATTTAGCAGGCAGGCAAATGTATATAACTCAATTTCTTTTGGGTGGCAACTAAGGCAGTCCATTTTTAGCCAAAGAACATTAAAGTTATCTCTACCAGCACCACAAAGATTTGCAACAGATCCTTTTATGTATTTATTGGAATTCAGAACATGCATGTTTACAGAAATGTATCAAAACTCTTTGAAAATGATTTTTAGAGCTGTATGTGGGGAATTGCCTTCCTACTTTTTTATCTGAGGAACATTGGTCATTACTGGAGATGATGAAATACCTTGGATTATAAAATCTTACTTGACAAACGACTTTCACTATAAAGACTACCTACAAACACGTGAAATAGAGGTCCCATACCCAGCTGTAAAATTATTTTCATCGTCTGATTTCAAAGTCCTTAACTTAACGTACCATTAAGATAAGATGGATAAAGACCAGGAAAAGATTCTTTCCATGTTGAAAGCAATACATGAAACCATCCTTTCAGCTTGTGATGAAATAAGATGTTACAGAAAAGGACAAGATGTCAGCTTAGATATACAAACCCAAATTCCGACTACAACTAAAGAACTAACAACACAGAAGGTAACAGAAGAAGTGGAAAAATCAAATACTAGGACAGAGGACTCAATTGACCAACAAATACAGTCAATGGAATATCCGGAAAAGGGACTGACAACACTGGAAATGGACAAGACTTTCTATATAAATCAGAAGAAATTTGAGGAGCAAGAAGAACAGACTGAATGGAAGATAAACATACCAGGGCAATTATGGGGATTTGGAATAATAGGGAGACAATTTAAGGAATAGAAATGGGCTAGCCCTTCCAAAAAAATGGCAACTAAATAGTCTCTCTTATTCCAAACAATATATATAATAATAGAGGGAGATCTATTTGATGATTTAAAAGCGTTGACATGGAAGGCTAGCTGGCAAAGAAAGCAAGCCACAATAAGGCTGAAGAAAATTGGGGTTTTGATTTATCAGAGGGGCTTTTATATTACTAATTAGAGAGTCAAAGGGAGAAGTTGAGATAAGGGAAATTTTGGTCATTAAATTTAAAACATTTGGAAATTAGTTGAAAATAAGGATGCTACAGTATTTGTTTAATACTTAAAAATTAGACCCCAAAGAAAAAAAATATTATGAATAAGTTTGATTTATTGATTAACTCAGACAATATATATAATAGGCTTTGATTTATTAAAGGTGATACTGTATTATTAATTAGATGATGTAAGATGGGGGGAAATAGATAACTTTTGGGAAATAGAACAAGATTATACCCAAATAGATAAGATGTGTATTTTGAATATTAGATTCTGTTATGAATTGAGATAAAGGAAACTTTGGTTACCTAAAACCTGGAAATTGTAAATATCAAATGTTAAATTTGAATATTGATGGGAAACTAAAAATTGGAAAAAACCAATAACAGGACATTGATTGACTGTAAAGATTGAGTGTAAAAGTAATTAAGATATGTATAAGCTAAAATTTATTGATAAATGTAATAATGATGTTTTTATTTAGTTGGTATAATAAGAACTGTATTAGCTTAAATATGAGATAGTAGATATTAAGGGAAAAAGAGAGGAAATATTTGAGGTTGTAATAATAATAATAATAATAATAATAATAATAATAATAATAATAATAATAATAATAATAATAGTAATAGTAATAATAATAATAGTAAAGTTGGAAGGGACCTTGAAGGTCATCTAGTCCAACCCCCTGCTCAGGCAGGAAACCCTATACCATTTCGGACAAATGGCTGTCCAGTCTTTTCTTAAAAACTTCCAGTGTTGGAGCATTCACCGCTTCTGGAGGCAGGTTGTTCCACTGGTTAATTGTTCTCACTGTCAGGAAGTTTCTCCNTGATCTTGATTCTATCCCTCTGTTAATGCAGCCTAGCACTGTGTTGGCCTTTTTGGATTTGTACTAAAGATTTTTGTATGTTACTGAACTATTGATTAACCCAGCCACCACATTGCTTTTTAAATACCTAAATGTAAAATTAGAAAATTAATAAAAAATATTATTTAAAAAAAAACCTCTTTGAAAATGAGATTAAAGAGAGACAGTAAATCTAACCATATCTACAGCCGGGTTCTTTAATCTGACTGTCTTACCAACACATCTGGTTCCATCTTCATTTGAATGATATCCTCTGCTGCATATTAAAAGGTTCTTCTGACATGTGTAAGATCCAACAGTATTGATGCAATTGAATCCAGCCTTACATGGCTCAGGAAGTGATGTACATTCATTAATGTCTGTGGAATAAACATTAATATATTGCTATCAGTCTTTAACTTAATCAGCAACCCATTTTCCAGCTGTTCTTCCTTTTCTGTTCATTTGGTCTTGATTTATTGTGCAATAAATTCCAGACAGATAGGATTTTATTTAGCCTATGGTTAAAATTGTAATATTTCAAAAATCTAATATTTACTTCTTGTTTTATTCTATTTTTTTTAAAAAAAAAATAATTTCAGAGTGGAAAAACAGTATAACTTTAAAGATGAGGGATAGAAATACTCACCGACGCAGTTTCCCTCTGGATCTTGTAAAAATCCTTCCATGCATCGTTGCTTTGATTCACAGTAAAATGATCCTTTTGTATTTTGACATGCAAAGTTGATCTTGCAGCTGTGAGTTCCTCTTTCGCATTCATCAATATCTTTTGTAAAAAGAAAAGAAAAGAAAAGAAACAATTTAGCTACACCATTTCTAATACTCTTGTGGCACCTTTCGGTTCATGTGCTTGTATAAGTTTATAGAGAGCAATGCTACAATGAAAGAGGCTATTAACATCTAATAGTAAATGTAAGATACTTTTAAGGCAGCCTTCATTCATTTCTAGCCTGACTCCATTTGGAAAGAATAACTGCAATTCTGATGTGTAAAAAAACCCTGGAAAATTATATGCAATCCATGTAAGCAAATTCAGCAAAATTGAAAACTAGCCCTCTACATGTATAGTCAAATGTGGATGCAGAAATCCAAAATCAGATATTTTTTGCCAGTGCTTTTTTTGAAAAAAAAAAAAAAAAGGTGCCAGAACTCACACACGTCATACAACCTGCCTTGCCTTGCCTACCCTACAAAGTTCCATCCAAAAAAGGTGCTGGAACTCCATTCTGGGCGTTCTATGACAAAAAAAGCCCTGCTTTGTGCACTTAAATATTGGTCATAGTTGGATTCTTTTGGATGTTATTCAAATGTCCAGATCTCCTTGGTTAAAAATAAAATAAAGGAAGAACAAGTACCCCTCTATGTTTAATATCCAAGCTCAAATAATCTTACTTTGGGCATAGCTCTCTAGAAGGACTCTAATTCTGGGAAAGGTAGAAGGAAAAAGAAGAGGACGACCTGCAGCAAGATGATGAACTCCGTTACAATGGTGATAGGTGCACTTATACGTTCATTAATGTCAGTGGATTAAATATCAATACATTGCTTAAATCAGCAATCCATCTTCCAGCTGTTCTTTCTTTCAGAGACAGAACATCATGGAGAATATTGAACTGTAGTTTTATAGAGAAATGATGCTGACTTGATAGCACATAATCATAGTTTAATATGACAATATCACACCATAGCAGAAGCATGAAGGTGACAGCAAATAATTAGAAATTGCTTATTACAATGATGTTTGAATTATAGATCCAGAGTCCAGGAGTTAACCGGGAAACCACACAGAAACCTGTTTTGTCATTTTTTTTTTTAATATGCTAGACTTAAAATCAGCTAGGATATGAAAAGTGGCTGCTGGATGTTTTTGAATAAGATAGTCCTCATTTAGCAACCACAATTGGGAGTGGCAAGTCAGACTTTAAGCAAAATGGTTGCTAAATGAAACGATGGCTGTGCTCTTACTTCAGGCTTCCTTTGCTTCACAGACCTGCAAAGGTTATAAATGCAGGATTGATCACAAAGTTACTTTTTCATCCCCCATTGTAACTGATCATCCCCCATTGTCTGAGATAGTTGCTAAATGAGGACTACCTGCACATAGGAAATCTGTATGTCAAATTTGTTAAAATGTATTTTAAAAGAAAAACAAAGCGTTGGAATACCGACCACTCTCAAATATAACTTTTGTCCTCTAATAATACTCATATTACTCCAATACTTTGATGGAAAATGTGAATGTAACAAAATAATTATCTTTGTGGCCAACCTACCTCCTTAAAATCTCTAAATGAAATCTGTACCCACTGCTGGAAATGATTTAATACTTTTTTAAAAAAATCCCACAATATTTGCAAGTATCTAAATTAGCAAGAAATAGCTTGAGTATTTCTTCTCATTGTTGCTTCAAAATGTTTAATCGAAACATGGAAGGGAATAGCTTAAAAGTTACTGGCCCCACCAGCCTTTCTCCAGGGTGAACTGTGTGTTAATCTATATAGACAATGTTAATTGTATGCTTCAGAATTGAGATAATACCCATTAAGTCTAGATTATAAAATTACCTAGCTGTGCCTTTATTCAGACCATTGAATTAACTTAAAGAAGGGGTAGCAATTTTTGTTTCCTGAGAAAGCTTGAATTTGTCAACAAAGTAAATCAATCACTTTTGCTAGCTGGGTCTTCTTGCATACAAATATCATTGAAAGCATTGCAACAAGTAGTATTATGATCATTCCTTCTTTATTTGCAATATGAGAACAGTATCACAATTCTTTCGAGTATTCTGAATTAATGTCTAAGAATTTACAATCCCCATTGTGCTATATAAGAATTGATAATTACAAAGCAATTCTGTAGTGGGAGCATGGAAAATTTATAAAAGCGCAACCATCACTTCCAAAAATTTGATAGACCTAGGGAGGTAAATAGAGGCATTTCCCACTTTGTCTGGAAAATCTCAAATAAAATTACAAGCTAAAATTGAGTGAATGTTTTTCCCCATACTATTATCAAAGCATCAACAATGAAAATTCAACTGCTACAACAATATTTTGGGGAATATCTCTTTCTCAACCATAAATTCTGTAAATCCTGTCCCTGGATCACAGGATTACTATATATTATTTTATTTAACGATTCATTTGTTTTACAGGCTTGAGGGTTGTTGTTTTTTTGGTTACACAGAATAATTCCTTTAATTTCATGAAAATAATAAATTTAATTTTAAGTTTAAATCTTGTTTAAACTTTAAATATGTACTTCAATTTGAGATTTTGACAAATGAATTTACCAACTGGTTGAAAAAATATACAAAATATACAAAATATACAAAAATAAATTCTAATCTTACCAACACATTCACCATCCTTAAGTTCATATCCAGATTGGCAGCTGAGTTGCTGAAGACATGTGAATGATCCAATTGTATTAATACAATGCTCTCCTCTCTTGCAAGTATGAGTATCTGATATGCATTCATTAATATCTGTGAAAAAAACCACATGGGCAGCATATCATATAACAAAGAATAGACCTTTTTCAAATTTACTACAGCATGAGGGGGAAACCCCTTAAAAATATAGCAGAAATTATTTGTCCAGGAAGAAAAGTTTATATGACTGCATTTTTAAAAGTTCTTGCCAATTTTAGAAGTTTACAATATTTTAATTTATAAGGAATTCTAGGAGATGTTCTACTTTTAATTTTGCTTTGAGTGATGCATTCAGTCAAAGTTATTATTATGTAATCAACTACTGTAATTGTACACAGAAGTTAAGAAAGTATGAGTGCAAGCACACATATTATATACAGAATATTCCTAGTTTATATAGCAAATATAATTCAATTTCACAAGAGAAGCAATCATTTGGTCACCACATGACACAAAGGCAATATATGAATAATCTAACAAAGCAACCAAGGAAGAACCACAGGAATGAGTATGAATGAAAACTTATGCTTTGAAATTCATAAGAATAACTTGTAGTATATGATCAAGTAGGAGTTGTGATGAGAGCCTGGTCATTGAAATAGAGCCTAATCATTGCCATAACTTTTAATTAAGTAGTATGTCCATAGAGGCAAGTTTCATGCCCAGCATGTGTTGATGAGAAATGAACTTTGTTTGGGATCCTACTGTGACTGGCACCGTACAGTTTACAAAGTTGTATAGATCCTTATATATCTCGCATTTTATTTTTCCAGCAATCCTAGAAATGTTTTATTGTTATCATTACAGGCTGGGCATTAAACACGCCACTATGGTGAACATACAATCTAATTCAAAATTATGGCACTGATTAGGTTTCATTTCAAATGTCAAGATGTCGCCACAACTTCTACCCACGAAGGATGTTAATTTGTAATACTTATATAGGACAACTGGAAATATAAGGGTAGGAACAGCAAAAGGCTGAATCAAAGAAACCTTTCCGTTCTTTCCCTTTCATTTCTAAACTCTCAATCAGTTTAATACATACTTCACATGCTACAACACACACACAAATAATAAGGGCCTAAGAAGGAAAGTTACCAAAACATAATGTAGCTTATAATGCCTTCTCCTCAAACAAACTGTGCATCCATCAGCACATTTTACAGATAAAATGATTGTATCTCAGTCAAGCAAAGTGTATCTCTAAGATAAAGTTAAAGGCAGAAAGGTAGTAGAAAACTCATTTAGCTGCAAGGAATAAAATAGGCAATCAAACACTGCAATAAAGAAAAGATAGCAGGGCAGAAGAAAAATCCTGTAATTCTATGAATGACCATGCAAGAAAACAGAGAACCTTTAAGCAAGAATAACAGATTTCAGCTAAATAGAACAAACTGTTGAAGAGTAAGAAGTAGCTGGGTAACAGAAACTATTATCTGATGATCATTACCCTTTCTTGCTAGAGCTCTTCAAACAATGGAGAGGTGCCCTGGCACTTGGATTCCCTGCCCTAAGGAAAGGAACTTTGTCCAATCTGTTGTCCTTCAGGTCTATTAGAATTTTGATTCCCACTAATACTCAACCAGCTGAACTGCAGTTTCAAAGTATCTGGAAAGTGCCAAATAGGGAAAGGTTGACCTACAAGACTCTCGTCCACAAACCACGATGATTGCCAAAAAGCTTCAGAGATTACAGGTGAAAGAAAATAGAATGTACAGTGAATTCCTAAGTGACCTTGAATATTTAATCAAAACTCAAACGATATGAAAACAAGAAAACAGGGAAGGGTCCAATTATTTTCTGCATCTGCAAGATTTATAAATAGCTTCTCCTGGGAACATGTACATGTCAAAGCAATTTCACAGGTTTTAGTTGCATCTTGATTGATTTCAGCTGAATGCTGGCTGTTGGAGAGGAAATGCAAAATGTGAACTTGTCTTCAGCAGGAAGGAAAATAAAATTCATGAACATCTCTATGAAGAAAATCTTTCTGTATCTTCTGTGTAAAATGAACATAGAACATTTCCAGTAATTCAGGCAGAAGCAAATTATGAAATACTTGGAAAAATAAAAGTTTATTTAAATGCTTATAGAAAAGTTGGTTTCTAGTCTTGATTCTAAGCCTGCTGACTCAACAGGGCTCATAACATAATATCTTAATCACTTATAGAATGATGAGTTACAACTTCCTTGAAATATTGTTATAGTTACAAATGAAGTGTCTCTGATTTACCAGTTAGGACAGCATCTCTGAGAAGTTCTGAAGAACAGCCAAGGCCCCAATGTGCTAGTTTTGCAATAATAATTCTTACTTCGAGTATTGGGTTAAGTTCTACACACTCCAATTTAAAATAAACAGGAGCAAGTCCAGAGACAGGCTACCAAGATGGCGAAAGGACAGTGAATGACTTGCCTCCAGAAGTTGTAGGTGCTCCAACACTGGATGTTTTTAAGAAGATATTGGGCAACCATTTGTCTGGAAAGGTTTCCTGCTTGAGCAGGGGGTTGGATTGAAGACCTCCAAGGTACCTTCCAACTCTGTTATTCAAGTATGAACTGGAGATAGACTCACAATATGCTTTTCCACTGCATACTCTGGAATCAACTCTTGGCAACTTTTAAGGTATATGCATTTTCCTAAAGTTTTTATCACTGCTGGTTCCTCTCAGATTGGGAAAGGGATAGAAATAAGTTATACAGGTAGCTTTCTGCAATAAGTGCAATGCAGTCCAGAACAAAACTGTCCCTACCATTTCTTGGATACTATCTCATATGGAGGCATTAATGTTGCCATGCCCTAGCCAAATCTTTCTATCATGCATACGTTTGCAACATGCATGGTTAACAGTGAGGTTAATGACTTTAATCTAGTAACTCCAGAGTTGGTGATAGAAAGATATGCTGTGAGTCCACTCTGAATTCTCACTTAAAGAAAGGTTTAGAAAGATGTTAGGTTAGATGGATCAAAGGGGAACATCTCTGCAGTTATTTCTTTTGCTTTATATAGCACCTGATTATTCTTTAGTTACAGTACACAGAATGATAGATTTAATAGGACAGCCATACATAAACATGAAAGCAGCACCTGAAGGAAATATAGGAAAGAAATCTTACAAGCAAACAAATAAACAAACTTCACTTGACACTTTCCAGAGTTAATAATGAGTATTGCCTACGCCAAACATCAGAATCTTCTAGCTCTGTGTTTCTTTACCTTGGCAAGTTTAAGATATGTGGATGTTAATTCCAAGATTTTGGGAACTGAAGTCCATAGATATAGTTGCCAAGGTTGAGAAACTCTGATCTATAGCTGGACCCTTGGATTAACAACATGTCTTCAGACTCTTAGACAAAGCTCCAGCACTTTACCTGTCCCTTAGCTCTTGCAATTTTCTGCAAGCATAGCATATCCTCTGCCTGAAACCAGTCTTTCTCCCTAAAATGTAGATGAATTTCACAAAGAGAAATCAATAAAGTGCTTTGTTGAGCAGAACAATATAGAACACACAGGGACACTTGCATACAGAATGAATGGTTATCTATGGTATACCCAAAGCTTCCAAGAATCACATAGCAAGGGCTTATTCAAAAGAGTGCAAAAGAGATATTTATATATTGCACAAAGAGATGATGACTTTTCTAACAGATTTGCTTCAATCAGAAATTAAGTAAATCAGAAATTCAATAAATCTATTTGTGAATGCTACTCGAATTTAAATCTTTTAATAATTTAATCCAGGAAAAGGAAAGAACAATAAACTTCTAAAATAATGGATTATGGAGACAAGAAAAATAGTCACTTTATTACATTTACACATACTGATGTCATTAAAGTAATTAAATATGAGAATTCTATAATTAACAGACATGAACTTTTCATGATCTTTTCATCTTTTCCATTCCTCAAATACTTCAAAATGGGGCACATAAATTTAGCTGGCCAAGAGACTGTGATAACAATTTGGACTATTAGAACACATCATCTATTTGTTGTTTACTACACACCAAAAAATTCAATAAGGATGAACAATAACAAGTGTATTCCATGTTCCACAACATGTACAACAAAAGTGAACACATAATACTGTGACTTGTCACAAATATAGGAAGCCTAAAACTGAAAAGAAGATTGTGGGCAGGATAGCTATAGCTTAACTATTAATGTGAAGAGCACATTCCCTGTAAACTATTCAGTGAGATGGTAAAGGTCCCTATGTACACCGAGCATCATACAAATGGGAAGGGTTGCTTCAATGAAGAGAAGGACTAGGGATGACATGATAGCAGTGTTCCAATATCTCAGAGATTGCCACAAAGAAGAGGGAGTCAAAGCACCTGAGGACAAGAAGCAACAGATGGAAACTAATCAAAGAGAGAAACAACCTAGAACTAAGGAGGAATTTCCTGACAGTTAGAACAATTAATCAGTGGAACAACCTGCCTCCAGAAGTTGTGAATGCTCCAAAACTGGAAGTTTTTAAGAAAAGACTGGACCACCATTTGTCTGAAATGGTATAGGGTTTCCTGCCTGAGCAGAGGGCTGCACTAGAAGACCTCCAAGGTCCCTTCCAACTCTATTGTTGTTGTTGTTGTTGTTACCTCCTTGCTTAGATGAGTTGTAGTCTGTGGTTGCTATTTGGCTTTCCCTTTTGATATGTGAAAAGTACACCCTTTAGTACCCTGATCCTATCTTTAGAAAAGCATATCTTGCTTATGCATATTTGGTCTACTTTGCTTGCCCTGTTCTTTGGAGAAAACCATTACTATGAGCTATCTATTCTTGCTTGAAGTTCATTCTTAATAAATAATGCAAGGCTCTCGATTGAAAGAAGCTCTAAATACCTGAATTCGCACTGCCCAGAAGTGGACAAGTACTGACCAGAAAGAGATTGTGTTCTTTTGTACCAATTCGCTTGTGTTACTTTTTAATGGGATAAATGGACATGAAGGCTGATCGTCATTAGTTTCTCTCCAGTCCTGGTTTGGAAAGTGAAGTGACCGAGCAAAGAAATCCTGCCCTAGCAAAGCATGACTGGAGATTTTAGAAGCCTCCTGCAAGCAACCAGCTATAGGGCAAAATGGAATGTTGAATGGAAGAAACACAATTATGTTGCTGTTTTTAGCAATATATGGAATTTTCATTCCTGCACCCTACAGAAGCAATGGCACAAAAACCTATGGGGCAAAAAATAAAATCTAGTTTACAAATCTTAAAATAGGCTAACTCTCTCCCTCCCCAAGCATATATAAATTTTGCTCACAGTTGGCAACTCAATTACTCCTGCACGGAAATGGCTCCTATTAACAGAAATTCCATCTAAGGGTTTTGTTAATTACTGAAAGCAAATGGAATGGTCAAAGAAAGAGCAACCCAATGGTCTTTAAGAACTTAATTTCTCCAGACCCCTGAAGTCTATTGCCTCTCTTGGGATGGTATAAATTATTTGCAGTCCAGAGCCAATGGTTCACATTTGCTATTGCCTAAAAGCCTGACTAACTACTTCCTTTTGCTATTCAGTCACCAGAACTAATTTATAGATAACCAGTATACTGATGCTATATACAAACAGTTTATATACCAAGGAAACCTATAATAGCTTTCATTGACATAACAAGAACACAGATTATCCCACACTATAGCAAGAATCATACTGGTATTAGCTATCAGCTATGCTGAACTTCATTGGCTGAAAAGCAGGATAATGCAATAAATAGCAAGCAATACTATATACGAACCATTTCTACATTTCAAAATTACCTTGTAGCACAGAGCCAAAAACCAATAACACCAATAATGTTAACATAAGCCAGAAATGTTATGACATTTTACTAATACTATTAAACTGTCAGAACAAGAGTTAAAGTACGACAAAGTTAGTCCAAGTTTTATAATGTGTATGTATATATGTATTTATTTATATGTACGTTGTTTTTTTTGCAAAAAACACGTTTCATTACAAAACTAACTAAGTAACTAAGTAACATCACCGTGCTAAAAGGGAGCGGTGTTTGCTATCTGTTTATACACACTGACTTGCCCTATGAGTGTTGGTGGGAATATTGCTGTTCCAAACAATTACGAAGAAGAAACTCACTGATTTAGCAGAAGTACGGTATTACATTGATTTTAATGGCATATTTTACATTTTCAGTACATTTATAGTCAAATCCCATTTATGGACAGATTGGGCATGAAGATGAATGGTAGTAGCTTTACCAGATGCTTTTAAGGGGTAACTACGCTGCCTCATTCAAAGAGGAGTTTAAATAATCTTTTCTTGCAACTGAAACCTTTGCATGTTTTCTTATTACAAAATACCCATTAAGGCCTTTCTGTTAGACAGGCTAACAGGAGACGTCCATATGGGAGCACCCTACGAGTTATGTAAAAATTGAATCATATTTTTTGCTCAGTGAAGGAACTAACTTTCATAGTGTGACCAGTTAGAATATGCAGTGCATCCAGAGAATTGTAAATGAAGGTAAAGCAAATGCTTGAGTTGTTTTACAACTATTTATAAAATAAATAGACCAAAAGCTGATTTAGCGATATAATATGTAGACCTTATAGGAATATTTATTTTTTTGAATAAATACAATAATAGAACCATTCTGACAAAGTCTAAAGGGCCTTCAACAGGCGGAACTGAGAAGTAAGGATTTTGATTTCAACACACTTACCTTCACAGGAAACACCATCTGAAAGGAGGACAAAGCCAAGTGAACAAGAACACACAATTTCCTCTTCCACCATATTGCAAATGTGCTTGCAGGGACCATTATCTGGTAAACACAATATTTCAAAACACGTTAAAAACAATTAAAGAGACTCCCTTTTATATTATAATTATATCCTGGTCATTGCATCAGAAGGTAAACATGCAAACAAATCACATACCCTCATGTACTAAATCATTTTCTAGAATCTTTCTTTTATTGGTAAACTAAGCTTATCTATGAGGCTGAAATTACTATATACAGCTGTGTTGAACAAACAGTCTAACAGCTAATATTAAATAAACTTTTCAAGTTAACATCCAATTATTCAGCACATTATCCTCTGAGCTTCTGGTTGTTGTTGGGTTTTTTTGTCAGCCTACTGAAGGCTCTTTGAACTAGTATTAAAATAAAAATTGCCAAGGAAACTTTTAATGATTTTCGAACATGTGCAAAACAATATATAGCAGTGATGGCAAACCTTTTAGAGACCGAGTGCCCAAACTGCAACCCAAAACCCACTTATGTATCATCGGGTGCTGGGTGGGTGTGGCCAATTGGATGGGCGTGGCTGCGGTGGTAATGGCAGACAGCGTGGGACTAAAAAGTTCAATCAATCCCAATTTTGCGAGATCTTTTTTCCCCGCGAGTTGAAATTGATTGATTGAACCTGTTTTTTTTGATGCACCCGGCAGTGGAGGCCTAAAGTGGAAAGGTTTTATAAAACCCAGCTGAAGGCCTAGGACTGGGGTGACGGCACGCGTGCCCACAGAGAGGGCTCTGTGTGCCACCTGTGGCATGTGTGCCATAGGTCCGCCACCACAAATATATAGTGTTGCTTGTTCTATGAAATGGGTTGCTATATAAACTAGATAAATAAATACATAAATAAAATCTTATCTCCAGCTCCCAATTAGACATACCTTTACATTTATCTTGCTCTACTTGTAAAGTGTTGTTGGTTTCAGGTTGAATATTTAAAGCTTCTGGAGCTGGAGTGGCTTTCTCCTCTAAGGCAGTGTTTTGTGCATCGTCTTCAAAATCTAAAAAAGTATATGTTACAGAAAAATTTTAATTATGATCTTTCATATCTATATATTTCCAAAGAAGATTTTCTTTGGAATACACAAATAACTCTATTGGGAAACATAGTAATTAAACTCTTCCACCTTGCGAGACACAAAAAGAAATAAGACAAGGATGCCCACTGTCTCATCTCTTGTTTATTTTGGTCCTTGAAATATTAAATATAAGAAAAGATGTGAGGATGTGGGAGTAAAGATTTAAAAATAAAATTATAAGTCAAAGGCTTTTGCAGATAACATGGCCTTGATTTTAGAAGATCCTTTAAGACAAATTGAAACATTAAAGGGAAAACTAAAAGAAGTTGGTACACCAGCTGGTTTTAAAATTTACAAACAAAAAATGAAAATTTTAACAAAAAGATGAAAATAGGGAAATCAACAGAACTGTTGAATAAAACAGGTTTTCAGGTGGAAAAGAAAGTAAAATAGGTGAATATCACCATGAAAAATACTTTGAAAAGGTAAACGTTTTCCCTGTCCAGTCATGTCCAACTCTGTGTACTGTTTCAAAATTACTATGGTAAGAGACTGAATGAAGTTAAAATATTAAGATGAGAAAAATTGCTGGGTGAATTTCTATGATTTAGACAGTGCCATATATATATATATATATATATATATATATATATATATATATATATATATATATATATATATATATATATATATATATATATATATATATATAT